TAACCGGGTGTCTAAGAAGTCACAACAGGCTTCCTCACCGGACATATCGTACGAGCATATTCAGCTCCTGTTGCAGCTGCTACCGCTGTTTTCTTGATCTACCCAATCGGTCAAGGAAGTTTTTCTAGCTTCTTTATGGTCTAACATTCTTGAAAATACATTATCCGGCTTCTGTCCGGAAGAAGAAATCCTACGATTCAGATTAGGAGATCCGCTCTTTTGGGGCAAGGGATTTTCCCAATCCTTGTTCGCATTCTGTCTTTGGAGCTGTCTTTCTCGATGCCACGAACGGTATAACAAGAATAAGCCAGGAGTGAAACTAGCTTGAACGCGGCGAACTTCACTGCGCTTCGAAAAGTTTGTTTGGTGAAAAGAAGCTTCGACCGGGCCCAAGAGAGGGATGCCCGGGTGGGGCGAGTGCTGATCCATTGTGGCAACAAGCTATGGCTGATGAGTTGCAGGCGTTAGAGAAGACTCATACTTGGGATTTGGTGGATCTACCTGCTGGAAAGAAACCTATCGGATGCAAATGGGTTTATAAGATCAAGACAAATTCAGATGGTTCTATTGAGCGCTACAAAGCTCGTCTAGTTGCTAAAGGGTACTCACAGGAGTACGACATCGATTATGAAGAGACCTTTGCACCAGTTGCTCGTCTTACTACTGTTCGGTGTTTACTTTCTGTTGTTGCTGTTCGTCGATGGTCTCTTCTGCAGTTAGATGTCAAAAATGCCTTCTTGCATGGTGCCTTATCTGAGGAGGTTTACATGACTCCACCTCCAGGGTCCTTGTCCTCTGGGAAGGTTTGGCGTCTACGTCGAGCTTTGTATGGTTTGAAACAAGCTCCTCGTGCCTGGTATGCCACGTTCAGTTCTGCATTGTTTCAGTTTGGTTTCACTACGAGTGATCATGATTCCGCTTTGTTTCTTCGGCGCTCCTCTTCTGGGATTATTATTTTGCTTCTCTATGTTGACGATATGATCATCACGGGAGATGATGTTACTGGTATTTCCGATTTATAGGACTATCTTCGTCAGCATTTTGAGATGAAGAGTTTGGGCCAGCTTCGCTATTTTTTGGGTCTTGAGATTTCTGATTCCGTTGATGGCTTCTATTTGTCTCAAGCCAAGTATGCCTCTGATCTTCTTGCTAGAGCCGGTCTCACAGATTGTCAGACAGCTTCCACTCCTCTTGATTATGATGTTCGTCTTACTCCACTAGATGGCTCTCTTCTTGAGGATCCTACATTATATCGCCAGCTTGTTGGGAGTTTGATATATTTGACTGTCACTCGGCCTGATATAGCTCATGCTGTTCATATTGTGAGTCAGTTTATGGCTGCTCCGAGAACCACACATCATTCAGCTGTGTTGCACATTCTTCGCTATGTGAAAGGCACTCTATTGCATGGTCTACACTTCTCTGCTCGTTCTTCCTTGACACTTAGCGGCTATTCTGATGCAGATTGGGCTGGAGATCCTACTGATCGTCGTTCCATTACTGGGTACTGCTTCTTTCTGGGCGATTCACTCGTCTCTTGGCGTAGTAAGAAGCAAACCTTAGTCTCCAGATCGAGTGCAGAGTCTGAGTACCGTGCTCTTGCTGACTCCACCTCCGAGCTATTATGGTTACGTCGCCTACTTACTGATCTTGGTGCTCCTCAGTCGTCGTCTACTACTTTACATTGTGATAGTCAGAGTGCTATAAAGATGTCTCATAATGATACCTTTCATGAGCGCACCAAGCATATTGAGATTGATTGTCACTTCATTCGACAACATGTTGCCCGTGGGACTGTGAAGCTTGTTCCCGTCTCCGCTACAGATCAACCAGCGGATGTCTTCACCAAGTCTCTCCTTCCCGGTCGCTTTTGTTTACTTCTTAGCAAACTCAAGTTGATCTCCACGATACCACCTTGAGTTTGAGGGGGGGTGTTAAATATGTAAATATTGAGATTGTACTATAAGTTAGGTTTCGGCTAAGGCTCATATGTGTATCTATATATATGTGTACTCCTCTTTGTGAATATTATTATTAGATATTTTTCCACATTCTCACATGTGGAAAAAAAATTGCAATGCAATATTTTATTTGAAACTTTACAACAGAAGGTATGATATTGTAATATCCATTTGAATTCCATTGTATTATATTACCGTTTCATGTTGAAATAAAAATTAATCATTTTCTCGTGGTGATTATTATGATGTCTGTATTATTGGACTATAATAAATTAAAACCCGAATTGAAGAAGTACCTGAACAATGGCAGCATGAAGATGGACGCCTCTAAGGCCTACAGCGATTGAGGCAACAGTCATTACAATCGGACCGGCTATGAACCGGATTCCCATTGAAATCACCGCCATTTTTGTTCCACAAGCTATTAATCGTGGTTGAAGTGCCATAAATAGCCCTGTCAAAGTATTTTTTTGTTTTTCATTAATTAATTGTCTCTCAATATGATTTACATTAACCAATGATGATATTTTTATATATTTCTGAATTCAGTGCTAGGGCAATCTATTTAAGATGTTTTTCCTGAATAGAATAAAAAATTGGCTCACATTAAACTTTCATAATTGTTAGGTAGTATCTAAACAACATCAAATGTGTTATATCTATCTACTATATAATTAGGCAACACACTTGCCATTTTTAGAAAGTTTTATGTGGGTCCTACAACATTTTTACTATTTTTGGAAAATCCTCACATTCTTTGACACGTGTTCATATTTATATTTATATTAATATTAATATTAATTGTCTCACCTAATATTTATTTAGTTTACTGATAACTAACAAAGACCCATTATTTAATGAAATGATTTGACATGTATTCATCAGTTGTGACTCATTTTTTTAATACAAACAATTAAAAGTACGGGACGTCTGTACTTGACAGATATTTATATAGAATTTTATTTTATTTTTTATTAAATATTTTAGTTAAAATTATTTATCTAATTTTCATAATTCATACTTTACAAATTAAAATAATTATAAGTATTTGTATGCTTAATATTTTAAATTTTTTATCTTAAATTTTGTACATAAAAATTAAATCTAATAGTAGTGAAATTAGATATAAAATATTTTAAGAACATGCACAATGAATAACACACAAACATTCTTCATAATAAATAAATAAATAACAACATGTTTTTAGAATATTTTTTATTTCATTTTCTACAACATACAAATTAAATCTAATAATAGTGAAATTAGATATAAAATATTTTAAAAAATGCGCGATGAATCACACAAACATTTTTCATAATAAATAAATAACATCATGTTTGTAGAATATTTTTTGATTCATTTTCTACAAGTTGAAAAATCCAAAATATATGATCATGATTAAATTAATCGATTAAACAAATAGTATTATATATATATATATATATGCAATATATATGTAATAAATATTAAATTACATAATATAAAGAGTATTTCGTAAATACTTTTGTAATTATTAGAAATATCGCGATAACATAAAAGTATGACTTAAATGTTAAATGGTAGGTAGTTAATTTATTTATTTTATACTTATAAATTTATGTTCATAAAATATTTTATTTTTTAATACGCAAATCAATCAAACATACTTAACAACACTAAACAAAGTCCAACATGTCATAAGATTTTTATTTAAAAAAAAATATTAACACAATGCACACGTCTAACATATGAAAGTTAAAAATATACCCATAAAACCATGAAAGTCAGTTTAGAAGTTAAAGTCAGATACAAGTTACTACATGTTTGTAAGTTTTGTTATACATAAAAAATACACCCTAAAACCATAAAAGTGAGTTTAGAAGTTAAGGTGACATAGAAGTTAACACACGTGTATAAGTTACATTATTGTCAGTTTGCAAGTTAAAATCATGTAGAAGTTAAGACACGTGTAAGTTACATTGTTAGCGGCTTGAATCGTCCACGAAGAAAAAGAGCGAGTCATCCTCGGTCATGTTGGGGATCTGAAGCAAAAGGGTGGTGAATTCTTTGACATAGTGACTCAGTGAGCCCTTTTGCTTGAGTTCCCTCAATTTGCGTCGTGCCTCGTACACAACATTTTCCGGATAGAATTGTCGCTTTGTGATACAATATATGAAAGATTGCTTGAGTCGATATTGAGGTGATTCTTTTAAGACTTTTTTTCTTATAAATTTTGTTATTATTATAAATTTCGTTATTATACATATGCTATTTAATTTTGTTTCCTAATATTTGTGTTTTTAACGTTTTACAGGCCTCAATCAAAAAGATTCATGTAGATTTGTTCAAACGTACGTTTTACACGCCTCAATCAAAAAGATTCATGTAGATTTGTTCAAACGTTTCCTCACATAAGGTAGAGTCATCGGTATCCACACTTTATTGTAGCACCAGCGGCAGATATAAATAAAAATTTCCAGAAGTTTATGTATAACTTCAAAAGTTTTACCGATTTGGCTAAATGCTCCTTTAGTAAGGACTTTTGATCCGTAATTATATCTTATGCATATCAAAAACAAAATATATATTTTAATTATTGAGATTAAATTATATGAATGTTATACATTAAGAACTTTGTACCAACTTTACGTTGTTGTTTCACGAGTTACAAATGAGAAATGATTGAAAATATTAATTTGTGATGATACAAATAACTCAGAACAATTTACATCGCTGTTTCAGAGTTACAAATGTAAAATGATTGAAAATATTAATTTGTGATGATAAAAAAAATTCAAAGACGAAGAACGTTATTCTGAATTTATATGAATTGCAAATGCTCTTTTAATCTCCCGTGCATTTGCACGGGCAACTGTACTAGTAAATTATAAAGTACCAGTAAGGCTATTGTTAGACATGTCTAACGGTTAGATAATTCTATTTTTTCAATACCTGTAAATATTTTCAAATTGAAATATCAACATAATATTTACGTATGAATTTTTATTTAAAAAAGAAAAATTGACATGACAACTCTATCGTTTAGTTTGTCTCATACGATTTTTTTTTTTTTTTANAAAACATACTCTCAAAAGTTAATAGTTAGTTGTTGGTAAGGTAAATTAATCAATATGGGGGTGTTTATATTTTATAAAATTAATTATTAGAGCAAATTTTGAAGTAATCTTTAGTAATTACTACATAATCAATGAGAGGAGACATATGATTTACCCAAGCTGAACATGGCCATCCCAAGCCCTGCATCAGAAATGATTTTAATCGAGTATTTCACCAAACTTGGCATCCCCACATTCCATCTGCTCATAAAAATTAATAATCCAAATTTGGTTAATAAATTCAATTTGCGGAATTAAATACTGATCTTTTTGTGGGGATAAAAAAAAAAAAATGGACTTACTTGAATGAGATTAGAGACCACGCAAGACCTAATACACTTGAATAAGTATTAGGATTACGTGAAAGCTTTCTTCCAACCATGATAAGTATGAGCTTTAACATCACAAATGCCTGTGGCATTTCTTGATTATTATTATCCCCTTTGCCCTCTGACCCCTCTTCCACTTGAATCTTTGCGCAGTCCCTAAAGCTAAGATCTTTTTCTGCATAAAAAAAAAATATATTAAGAAGTTATTTCTTTTGAATTGAACCATTGATTATTAGCCACATTAAAATCATTTATGATTTTTTATACCCCCTTCCCACAAATTACAAATTTAATATAATAATAACTTTTTTTTTTCGGTACAATATATAATAATAACTTTCAATTTACTGTTGACTATAGTTTATCGTCAGATTAACACATACACATATTAATGTATGTGTATTGATCTAACGGTAAATAACTCGGTGACTATACATTTTCCATCCATTTAGTCAATTAAAGTAAATTATGCATTTATTTCACTTTTTACTCTCTTCTCGACGCACATTTGCCAATACACTTTTTACATTGAAAATTAATTCTTACTACAAATCACTTATAAAATTTAATATTTATACATTCACATAGTTATTACTTTCATCATTATACTATATGTCCCTAGTGATACTTATTATTTTTTACATCATATCAATTAATATTATAATCATGAATTCTTTCATCAGAATTTTTTTTTCCAATGGTAAAATAATTTCACCAATCAATATATGTCCAATATCACCAATTGGTTGTACCATATGAGATTAACAATTATTTTATGGCCCACAATATATAGGGATAAAAAACAGTAGTGGAGTTGACAATGAAGGCCGAACATATTGAGATGGGGAGAAACATCAAAACATCTTTACTACACAGATTCAAAAGGACAATCATTGAGATATCCCAACATATCAAATCTCAATTATAGCACACGTGCTATTATGTAATAATGAGTTCCATTAATAAAAGTTTTTGCCCTCAATTATATTATATATGTTTCCCTCATAATTTTTACCGCCACACCGAAAAGTAATATATTATACACTACAAATATGAAATTCAATATAAAAAGCATTTTAAATTGAAAATGGTTTGAACTATAGCTATAAAATTATCATGAGTTTGACTCGTTACGACTTGTTCAAAAATAAATTTTTTATATATTGTTTTATAATTGGACTCGTTAAAACTGAATCATGAGGAGTTCAAGCTTGATCATTCCATCTAGGCCTAGGTGGAGCCTAATTGGCACTAGTTCAAATGATTTTGTCAGAATATACACTTGTGAGTTGTCCCACATCCTCTATACAAGGAAAATAAGTCTAACTTATAAGCCTAGTGGGCTACTCCTCCTACCACCAATTGGTTTTGAGATGGAACCTCACTTGGGTTTCCCTACTTTGGTGCGCTTCGTCTGTAGGACCGCACTCGTCAACCCCCGTTTGTCATGGTATCAGAGCCGGTTCACCAGCCCAGTTGAGCTTGGGCTTACATGGGACCGTGCAATGACGTATCCGTCACCCAATCCAGTTGGGCTTGTCCTTCCGAAGGACTCACAAGTGAGGTGGATGTCAGAATATACACTTGTGAGTTGTCCACATCCTCTATACAAGGAAAATAGGCCTAACTTATAAGATTAGTGGACTACTCCTTCTACCACCAATTGGTTTTGGGATAGAAACCTCACTTGGGCTTCATTTGAGCTTCCCTATTTTGGTGCGTTTCGTTCGTGAGACCGCACCCGTCAACCCCCATTTGTCAGCTTTAAATTAAAACTTATTTTATTTGGCACGGAATAAGAGATCAATCAATATGTAGTAAAAGAAATAAAGAGTGACTTTATTATGCAAAAATCAACTGCAAAAGTGAGAAGCAGTAGGGAAGAAACGCCATGATTAGTAAAACCAAATTGTGCATTAAAATGATACATGATGAACAATTATATTCATTAAAGAGCAAATAAAGCGAGATTGATTTTGCTTGAGTTGAAAGCGAACGAAGTCATGCTTATGTTCAATTCATAAGTGCACAATACAGTCTTGATTATTGTGAAATATATAAAGTTGAATTTGATATTCAACATTGACACATATAAAGTTAAATTTGATATTCAAGTTTTGACTTTCCGCACAATTGGTCAAGAATTTGATCAAAATCGGCTAAAAAAGTGGTAAAACATTTAATGTAAAAATATTATTCATCCACACAAAAGATTCGGTCATCCTAATTAAATGGCTAAAAATTATGAAAAATTGGCTTAATTTTAGCATACCCTTCTATACATATAAATGTAGAGTGAATTTAACTATAATTGAGAACCAAAACTACGAAGGAGTATTTTTTTTATAGGAGCAACTCGAAAAGGGTCAGGTCAATTCATGTCGGGTTACACAAAACAATGTATGAGCATCTTGTCATAAAAATGTACACACTACCCTTACGGGACAGGTACGTGTCCCTGATTGCTTTGCCTCTAGTGCACACACACACGTATATCTTTTGTCATTTTCAATGTTTTATGTACTACATTGGGTAATAACTAATTATTTATATATTATATATACATATTTATATATTATATATGTATATATACTATTATTTTTTATTTATACATTTCAAGTTAAGTTATGTGAAATTATATGTAGTTTGATATCACTCCAACACAACTCGGTTCAATTAGTAAAAATTAATTAGGCTCTTTTGTTTAAATGAGTTGAGTTTAAACAAAAAAGATTGAGCTTCTTTATTAAATTAGTCGAATGAGTTCTTTCAAGAATATCTTATTAATTTTTATTATGTGTTTCGAACAAACATCCGAGTCGACCATATTTCCAAACGCACAAATTATATTCGCGAACAGCCCGTTTAAAGTTTTGAATTTGTTAATCAAATCAAGCCTATAACTTTCACGAGCCTAAACAAGTCGATCTGATCTGACTCATTATTAATCAAGCACAAGCCCGAACACGAAGTCCCATCCATTACTACTAAACTGTGATGTACTTCTCTCCTAATCACTAGTTATTTTACATGTTTTTGCCATTTTTTTTTTCTTTTTGTCTGTCTTCATTAGAGTTCAGCTGAGCTCAATTTATAATTTTATACGGTCCATTAAATTAATTATACTCGTTTTTTTTTTTTTTATTATTTTACTTATTTTGTGCATTTTCGTCTATTTTTACAAAAACGAGAAATATTAATAAACAAATCCACACACACACACAAAAGAAGGTTTATACATACCTCCACTAACGTCGTCTTCAGATGGGCCCCGCCCCTCTGCCGGCGACTCCCACACCATTCTCACCGCCGGCGATGCCTGGCGGAACACCTTTGCCGGCGTCGGGCTGGCTGTAGCAGCAGTTACGTCCATCTCGTTGAAGTTTGACGCACGCGGCGTGGGCTGCAGCGAGTACGCGTCGGAGGACGCGTAGCCCGAGTGGCGCGGGCTTATGGGCCCCCTGAGTCCGAACCCGAACTCGTTGGGCGTGGCCACGGAGAATATCTCGGCACTCGAAAGGTTGGAGGCCCGCGGCGTGGGCCCCACAGTGGAAGACTGCGGGGCTGATGACGTGGACCGTCGGATCCGGACGTGGATCCGACCGCTGCCGTCGATCTCGGAGTCCGTGCAGAGTGGGTCCCGGCCGTCGAGGGAGATGACATCGTTGTCCACGTGGATCTCGGTGATGGCTGCGGCATTCGGGCCGGGGAATTGGGCCCGGATTAGGATGGTGGCGGCCCGATACTCGAAAAGGAAGAGCAATAGTGTGTACCTATGTGTATTTTTTTTTTTTAATGGGGGCATATCACAAATTTGTTTAGTAACTTTCGCGATTGGAGTGAATATTTATTAATTAATAAAAAATCAAGCACAAAATATCGAAATTGTATGTCGTGTAAAATATATGTCAAATAACACGCGTGATGTTTGCGGTTTTATTAGTTAACATTTTATACGAGTATGAAAAATTACTAGGTACAATTTTCATACGCCTCGAATTAGTAGGCGTACGTGTCTTGCCGTCATGCCTTTTAACTTGGCCCAACATAGTTCAATAATAATTTATTGAAAAAAGATAATTTATTTTGATGGGTAAATTCTAAAAAGCAACAAATTTTTTATGGATAATTTAACTAGTATTTTCCAAAAATAATTTGTTCTTTCATATCTTATTTTTATATTTGAAGTCTAAAACTATAAACTAGGTACACGCAAGCCATTTATCATTCATGCACTATAACAAAATCGGGCGTGACATTATTTTATAACAAAATCAAAGTGTTTGGAGGTGATATTTTTCTCTGTCCTTTTCTTTATGACCATTATAGTCCAAGTCTAATTGTGTTTAGTCTATATATTATAAACACAATTCAATGTACTATAGTTGTTAAACCATTTTACCCCTTATATACTTAAAAAAAAAATCCCAAGTATATTTCCATAAAGTCAATGATTTTGACTTACTCGATGCTTTATTTGATACTTGTTGTGTTTTTAATTTGGTGGTTAATTTTTTTTTATTTTTTTTATTTATCAACACTCGTGACAGATTTTTCTGACATTAAAACATAAATAGAATTATTCCAGCAAAACTTGCTGCTATTTATTTTTGGAATCCAATGCCAAAAGTGGGAATATGGAAGATATTTTAGCAGACACAAAATATTGGTCAAAAGAAAAGGCATTCAAATGAACCATTCTATCATATTTTCCATCACAAATTCTTGTGACATGCTGACTTAATTATTATAAAATATCATATTTTTATTTATTAGTTTTTTTAAAGTATGACATTAATTTCCATTTAAAGTATGTATATTTATTAAAAAATATAGTTAAGTGTTTAATTATTCGACCTATCTAGCAATAGTAGTTTTACCGTTGATCTTCATGAAATACTAACCTTACCTAGCTATGGCCATTTGGATTTAATTAATTTAATTATTGCATTGTATTATTTATTTATTTATTTCATTTATTCTTTATTTTATTTATTTGTTGAGAATAAAAGTTGATTCACTTTTTAGAGTGTCCCATTTGTTTGACTTGTAATCCCTCACTTTTTTATACACCTTGCTTTCAACCCAAGCCTGCATATAACCTAAAAGTCCCAATATGTTTTTTAAATCAATAATAACGTATCAAGAAGCAAATAAAAAAATAACTTTTTTGTCCCTATCAAGATTCTAATGACATAAAAATCAAGAACATTGGTAGTTAAAAGGATACATTAGGGATAGATTGATGCGACTTATATGCATTTTTTCTAGAAATGAATAATCTTGTTTGATTCTATTTTACTGGCAATAAAATAGAAAGGAATAATCTTGTTCATTTCGCCCAACAAACCAACTATATTAATTGTTCAAGAAAATTATTGAATATATAATTATAATTTTTCTCTTCTATCATCAAAACCAAAATTAAAATATGTTCGCAAATTCTACCTCTATGAGAATCATAACACAGATTTTCATTTTAAATAATTGCCTTTATAATTAGATTAAAATCTTTTTACAAATTTTTGTATGAGACTGTTTGACAGCTAGGCAGATCGAGAAGTTATATTTTTCTTAAACAAAATACATATTTATGCAATTAAAAGCATTCATATATATATTTAAAAAAAAAAGACATAACTACTGAACCGTTAGCACCAAAACATTTTAATTTTTTTAAACATTTTATGATATACATATTTCTACAAAAGCTACAGTATACATCAAAATTTTAACAACTAATCATGACTAATTAAAACCTAACCAACACACGCATGATCATCATCAATCTAACAAATNTCCCCTACCTATACCATACCCCTAATTAAATTCAAAAAAATAAATAAAACAAAACACACATACCATATAATGCATTGAAGCACAACGACTTGTACCATGAGGCTTTGAGTGAAGTCCCCATACATGGCCTTGAGCAAAGGTATCCCCATAACGAGCGTGTTGGGAAGCGTCGAGACGGAGAAGATGGTGATGAGCCAGTCGAGGCCGTGGGCCCCACGGCGGATTAATGCTGTCCACGCGAAGAGCGCGGCCAGCACGAAAACCTTGGAGGCCGTGTCGGCCACGACGAACCACACATCCATTCGGTAGGGGTCGTTCTGGGCTATGAAGTGGAACGAGAGAACCGGGACTGCGAACACGGCCACGAACCGGTTCACGCCGGCGCATTGGGCCGGGGTGAATATGGAGGCCCATTTGACCGACGAGTAGGCCACGAGCATGGCGAAGTAGAGAGGGACCATGGCACACATCACCTTGTAGAAGTCCTCACCACTTATCATCTTTGTGCTTGTTGCTTCTCTCTCTCTCTAGGAACTATTTAGTTGTGGTGTGAGGGGAGAGAAGATATATAGAGAGAGAGAGAGAGAGGGGTTGATTTGGTTCTCTCTAAGAAGTAAGTTGTGGTGTGAGGAGAGAGGGAGGGAGAGATAGAGGGGTTAATTTGGTGTGGTTTAGAGAGAGGGAGTTGTAAGTGTAACTTTTAGGAGTGAAAATGTGTGGATATGTTACATATATAGTGATGATAGGGTTTACTCGTGTGGTGTGGGTGTGTGTGAATTCAACTAGTGTTTTTTCTATTTAATTGTGGGGTGAGGAGAGTGAGAGAAGGGTTATTTGTTTCTCTCTAAGAACTATAAGTTGGGTGAGGAGAGATAGAGAGAGAAAGATTTTTTATTCATTTATCGCTGTCTGACTCAAACTCTAGACTTATTGGTCTAAAGTGAATAGTGCTACTAACTGAGTTATTGTATTTCATCGAGAGAGAAAGGTTAATTTTGTGTGGATTGTGGTGGGGGAGTTGTAATTGTAACTTTTAGGAGTGAAAATATTTGGATGTATTTTTATATAATGATGATAGGGTTTACTTATGTGGTTGTGTGTGTGGGTTCAACTGGTATTCATGTTTTTTCTTAATTGAATTGTAGGAGTTATTATTATTTTTTAATTTGGGTTGTTTTGATTTATACACAACTAGTCGATTTTATAAGTTGTTTTAGAGGGGAAAAAGACCATCTTGGATAGGGGTGGAGAACGGTGTGGTTCGGTGAAAAACAGCAAAAAGCAGAAAAACAAAACTTATATAAAAAAATAATCGAACCACACTGCAATTTAAAAGTAAACCGAACCGAAACTGAACCACGCTGAAATGCACGGTACGACTCGGTTTTCAGTTTTATCATGATTTTTTTATACATATTATTTAATTTGGTGCAGTTCGGTATAAAACGGCACCGAACCGAATAAAACCGAGAACCGAACTTATAAAATCGCACTGCACCGCAATGTAGGAAAAAAACAAAACAGAAATCGAACAAAAATTTTTTACATAAAAAAACCGAACTGCACCATACCAAATTGCAGGATTCGGTTTAATTTTTTGGTTTCGACTCGGTTTTGTTCACCCTTACTAGTCTTGGATACACCACGGACTTGGGAATTCTATTCACCGTCTCTGGAGATGTTTAGAGGTTGATATGGGGTGATTAATGGTTAGATCAATATGTTCATTATTTTTTTAATAGAAGTATAAATATATACTTATATGTGAAGTTTTATATTTTTTTAATACTATTTAAAATTAAATATGAAAAGTTATGATATCATCCATGAGAGTACTATGAATGTTTACTGAAAGTTTATATCTTTCTAATAACTAATTAAGCTATACCTTACAACTGTCGGAAATGGTTCTATAATAAATTGGATAAACAAATTGAATTGAAGTGGACATGAAAGTCTATACGAAGAAAAACTTGTACTAATTTCTATTAATTATGGAGATCTGAGGATGGATAGTGAAATAATGGTCTTTTTACGAGTGACTTTAGGTCACATGTACACATATAATAAGATGTAGATAAAATGATAATTGGTATGCAATTCAAAATGAAAGATATGAATGTGATTTGTCTGACTTTTTTTATTAGATATGATAATAGTTTGATGTGTTGACATTGTCGGGTTTGACTGGTAACAACCAGTTTTAGGTACTTCGAAATTTATTTATTTTTTTCTATTCAAAATCATCATATAATAAAATTTAGGTGTACATGTCATATGTAGTTGAAATTAAATTTAAATAAATGTTGCCTGGTACGAATGCAAATAATTCGAATATAAATATTTGCATGCCTGTGCGTGCATGTGTGTGTGTCCCAATTTTATTTCTTAATTATTTTACCATTTATGTTTATAGCATGAAAATGAATTTGTTGAAGTCTTTGTTGCAACTCCAACCTACAAAACTGAGCACGAGCAGAAAATAAGGGTGAAAATTAAAAACAGTGACAGGAAATATAATATATCATGTATTATATATATATATAGAAGATATCCTTGTCACACACACGATATTTGGATATTTAAATGCAATAAAGATGTATTACATGTATAAAAATTGTACCATCATGTTTCAACTAGTATTATAAAATAACAATATCCAAAATAGTGAATAAGTTAAGCATTGTGAAAAGGAAAAGGTCTATAGCATTAAACAAATTATTATATTTTTCAAATGAATATCCAATATTAAAATATTACAACACAAATTACAACGGATATTTCAATATTATAATTTTTATTAAAATTGTTCAATGGAGATCTAACACTGAAAATTTTTGTTAAAATTAAATTACCTAGAGAATTCTATGTGAAAATTGATGATTACATCATTTCAACCTGCTTATTTTTATAAGAAATTTGGTTGGATATGGAATTTCTGTGAAATTATCTTCTGTGACCATAATTTCTTTTGACGATAATTTAACTATTGCAAATTTATTGTTTCAATTATCAAAATCTAATTAAATTTTGAATAAAAAATAATTCCAACAGAAATTATAACATTGAAAATCTATTAGATTTAAGTTATGTTATGATATTTTTAATCATTATTCTATGTGTGCTGGCGTCTAAGGATGCTACGTCAATAACAATAGCCAAAAGTATGTGTTTTTTGTTTTTACTATTTACTACATTATAAGATTTGACTGAGAACTAATTCCAACGGAAATTATAAAACTAAATATCCTTTTTAATTCTTTTGGAATATGACATTTGAATTTTCCTTTGGATTAATATAATCAATATTTTCATAGTGAAGGTTACTATAATTATAGCAACAACAAATAATATACACTTTTATTGAATTAGTATTACGGGACGAGACGCCTAACAATATATAGCAAATAATTGTTGTAAAATAGACATATGTTCATGTGTATATTAATTGATGTTTGGTATTGTGTTGGTGAATAAGGGGCAAAGTTTTGACATATCTGTCTTATGTGTAATGACGAAAAGAAAAAAGTGAAAAAGACGAGTGTCTTTTTAATGGGCCCATCATCAATTATATATACGCATGCGCCGGCCCATCACTCTGTGTCTTGTCCCCACAACTATTTTATGTAAATTTTTCTTCAGATCTCAAAATTATGGGCCTTTAGTGGTATCCATTTATATCGGGTCAAGTGACTTGGCCCAATATTAATTTTTTCTATTTGGTTTTGATACATTAACAAATTATCTGGTACAGCGGTTTTGTCCTCCTGATTTAGTGAATTGAGGCCCAAATTTGGCCCAATGTATCATTTGGTTACGTGCATACAAATTCTAATCTAACATAATATGGGTGTATGATGGATTTAGATTTACATCAAACATTATTAATTATTGTCAATTGGATCCAAAGATAACTAGTACAGAGCCGTGCGATGCACGGGGTGCACAATTTTGAGGCTATTTATCCAGGCTTATAATTATATACACGAATAAAGAAAAATATACGGGATATATATAGTACGTGACCCATGCGAAACACGAGATATATTTATTTGGAGAATATTATATTATAAGATGCAATATTCAATAAAAGTTTATAATACGCAAGAAAATTGTACAATGTTCGATAAAAGTTTTATAATATTCAAGTGGAGTCTTAAAGTCTCTTGTACATTAAGACTACTGACAAATAATATTTTAATCAATGAGTTTTCTTTCCTTGTAGCCAAAATTGTGAATGTGATTTGAGGAGTACAACAAATCGATATATAACTGACTTGCTTTTTTCATTGTAGGTTTTTTTCTTTTTTTTTTTTATAATGAATTTAAAGATATTCTAAAATATAGCAAAAATTAATTTTTTTTATTACAATTAGGAATTTTACTAAATATAAACTCTCAATCTATAGTGTTAATCAACGTTTAAGTCTAAGAAATTAGGAATTTTTACCCCTTTTAATCAACGTTTAAGTCTAAAAAACAATAGTTATTATAAGTTTTTTTTTCTACATCTTTTAAAACATTAAATATGAGCATGTTAGGGCTAGCTTGTAAAATAATTAATATATTATCTCACTAAAACATTTATATTAATAAAAATTTAATTTTAGCATATAAATTTATCCCTTGTATAACAGAAAGTAACAGTTTTACTTATTGTTGTTCACCATATAATATTTAATTATTATTTTATTATATAATAAAAAAGAAATATTGTTAAATAGTGTAGTAGAATTGTTATAAAATTATATAATTTTTTTTTTACAATATAGATTTAATATTTTTTTTATGATTCGATAATATAAACAAATCTATACTTAACTTTGACAAATAAAACAAATAAATACTTTAGTAAGTATTTAATGTATATACTAAATAGGAATATATTTGGTATAATCAAATACCAAATATAATCAAATAAGTCAAAGTGTACATTTTTATTTGGTATTTGATTTTTTTATTATTAAAATCTTTTTATTATACTTACCTTTTTAAAATAAACAAATAAATAAATTAATTAAATAAATAAAATATTATAATACCAAAATAGTAATGGCATTTAATGCAGTTGACTTTTCTGGATAGTAAATGTAGTAAATAGAATCTCCTTTTATATAAGTATAGATTGTATAATACGGAAATAGTAATGCAATAAATGTTGTTGACTTTTCTTTATACTAAATCTGGTAACTGATATACGTTTTAATATAAACTAGTACATACCCCGTGCGATGCACGGGAAAGAGATATTAAATGAATTATTTTCACAAGCTCTGTTCGTTTAAGTCTGAGAAGGGTTATTATCCATTTTTCACCTATTTTAATCACCGTTAAGTCTCGTTTAAGTTTGAAAAGAGTTATCATCTATTTTCCACCTCTTTTAATCACCGTTAAGTCTAAAAAAATAGGGTTGTAATCTATTTTTCACATCTTTTAATCAGCGTTGTTTTATTAGTCAGAACATTAAACATGAACATGTTAGGGCTAACTTGTAAAATAATTAATATATTATCTCACTAATACATTTATACTAACATAAATTTAATTTTATTATATATATTTATTCCTTGATATAAGAGAAAATAACAATTTTACTTATTCTTATTTACTATATAATAGTTAATTATTAAACTCTGTTGCCATATAATGTCATTATTATTTATAAAGTTAAACAAGTTACACGTCTTCTTGTTCTTTTTATTTTATGTAATGAAATATATTTAATGCACGTTGGTATTATTTATTTTTTTAAAATAAAATAAATAAATAAATAAAATATTATAATACCAAAATAGTAATGACATTTAATGCAGTTGACTTTTCTGGATAGTAAATGTAGTAAATAGAATCTCCTTTTATATAAGTATAGATTGTATAATATGGAAATAGTAATGCAATAAATGTTGTTGACTTTTCTTTATACTAAATCTGGTAAATGGTATCTCTTTTAATATAAGTATAGATATAGATTTTATTGTTTTAATTACATTTTGTAACAATTTAAACTGATGAATAATTTGTTATTCCTAATTTAATGCCCAAATAGATGAACTTTGCTCAATATCAATCTTATGTATGAATGCCGAATCCATGATCACATAGCTCAAGTCAAAATATACACCTTTTATTTAAGTAAAGTTGCAAAATAAAGTTGATCTGCTTCTGAAATGAATTTGGGGAAAATTTTCATTTAGGGATAAATCGGCTTCTGAAATGAAAATGGTCCAAACATAAACAAGAAGATTTTTTTCAATTCCAGAGAATAACATCACATAGAGTCTAGAGAACCTCTCTTTCATGTCCAACCAATAATCAATCTCATAACTTTTAACTTATTCAATTCTTTTCACATAATAAATAATGATTTGTAATTACAACATAAGAACAATAAAAAAAATATATGAAAGAAAGGAAAGAGAATAAATTGATCATTCTTATTAATTATTACATAATTATTATCATTCAGTTCTTGTACTTGGAAGATGATTCCCCACTTTCAAGATCACCTGTTCTGATTTCCCTATTTTGCCCCTGCATGAACTCACTAGATTTCATCTTTTGCTCCTTCTTCACAATGTCCTCTTCAAATTTCTTATCCTTTTCCATAGACAAAACCACTTGTGGCCCAAATGGGCCATTCACAACATCCTCCTTCACCTTCAAATGCTCGTCTGCACGTATAATCACATCGTCTTTTTCATCAGACGACTCCTTTTTTATCATCTTGATTATAAAAAACGAGGCCACAAAGAACAAGCCGAGCATGAAAAAGAAGCCCAACGAGACGAACACAACTAAAACCACGGCCATTTTTCAACCGAGCTTCTCAAAGAATCGTTTACTCGTGATATGTTTTTTCTTTTGGAATGTTGGTGCAAGAACTAGTCTTTTGGGGTTCTATTTATATATTGTTTTGGCTTTATAGGTGCTTTACTTTCAAGAATTGAGAAACTTGACTCTAATGTTAAGATTTCTATTGGATGTGGTGGTGTTGGTTGCAGTAGAAAACACACATCCATTTTGCCTTAGCTTTGATTTTTTTTGGAACACTTCAATATAACCAAAAGATTTCTTATCCTTGTTCTTTTGGAAGAAAATATATTTTTATATCTCATTCCTTAATCTCTATTTTTCCCTGCATGAACTCACTAGCTTTTAGTGCATAATTTTCAAATTTTGTTTTCAATGTTAGTATTTGGCAAATAATATATATTTTCATTGTGGAATTGTAAAAAATAAATGCTAAAATAATAAATAAATAAATAACAAAGATATATTTGCTTATAATTATTTAAAATGAAACCAATATTTTAAACTCAGTTTATTTACAATGATAATATTTAATTACATTTCTATATGTGTCTGAAACAAATTATCTAGAACTCCATAATTTTGAAATTTCCAAAAACAAATCCAAGTTTGATTGTAGTCCTAGTTTTTTATTTTATATTTATAAAGTCGTGTCTCTTATCTATAAATTTTTTACAAGGATCTTCAACTTTGCAATTTTCAATAATTAAAAATACATGTATAAATGCAAAATATTCTGACTCGTGAAATATAATGAAGTTTGTACAGAATAATGAATATTTTCATTTATTTAAGTGAAGAAACCAACTTTTAGAATATTATTTATGATCATACAATAAAATAATTGTTTATTGTATATTAATATAAATACAAATAAATATTTATTGCTTTATAAGAAAATTATAGTTTTGTTGAATATTTTTCAAAGTTGTTTGATAAATATCTTCAAAATTATTTATTAAGATAGTTGACGATATTATTTATATACAATATGGACATCAAACTAAAAATTATGAATTTGATATGCTATGTATGAAAAATAAAAATAAGAATAATACACATTTATAGTAATTAATATACGAACAAATAAGAAAAATCTATAATAATATAAAGAGGTTGTTGAAAAAATGTTTTATAGTAAGTTTGATTAATAAATAAATGAGTTGACTTACTATTAGTAGAAATTTAAAAAAAAAACATGTAAATCTTTGGAAATCAAATTTAGTTGAGATATTCCAAAAAAATTGGAGATTCTTATGGTAACAAATTTAGATATTCTTATACCAAAATTTAATTCATTTCTTAAATATTAATCTCATATGAATCAATTTTTATTGGTAACAAATTTGGAGATTCTTATGCCAAAAAATTGAGATTTTGAATTGAGATATCCCAACAATTACGGATTTTTTTTTCCATTTAAATTAATGTTGTAAATCAAACAAAAAAATGTTCCGAGAATAATGGACGATATACTAGACATTGATAAACTTCAATCCTCCATAAGTTATTTATATTTATGAATTTTGTGCATAAATATATTGATTTACTTTTTGTATATCTATTACTATATAATATAGAGAACGATTTACTTGACATAGTATTGGAATTCCCACATATAATTTTCAAAATTATTGTTCTTAGTACTTTTTTTTTTTTTTTGTGAAATGGCGGCTAATGAAAATTCGAATTCAATTTCAAAAATTTATTATTTGAGAAAGATATTGTGTAAATCTTAATTCCTAAAAATATGGTCATAATATTGATCATAGAGAATTGTTGCTATAATTGTAGGAAAATAAAAAGAGTATCTTCGTTAATTTCATTCCCAATATAATTGGTGGAGATAATATAGGAAATATAATAAATTCAAATAAAACTAAAATTCGAATGCACATCAATTTAAATTTGGTCATCTTTTTATTTATTTTTGATGAATTAATTCTGGGATGTATATTCGGTGCATATTTGCTACGATTTTTTTCAAGTAATAGTGATACACTCTCAATACAACTCTTTTAAACAACTCTTGATACACATTAAAAAGTGTTTGGTAATAATTATCTTCTGTAAAATGATCATCTTTTTATTTTCTAACAAAATATGTGCGAATCGCTAAATTGACAGATTTTTATGTTTTGAAAATTCAAATCTTGATATCCCATAAAAATTGATAGGCTTTTAGGTTACGAGAATTCAATTCCATTCAGATTTTCTATCCTTTTTTATTTTGTAACAAAATTTGTTAGCTTTGAATTTTGTGTCAATCATTATCCATTTAGTTAGGAAAATAAAATCAAATCAATTTAATGTCAATCCTTGATTACATTACCAAATATATGTTTTTTTTACAAGTTTTTTTAAATTCGAATTTATAGGTAGATGGCACATGTACAATCATTATATAACCAGCACATTGGTGTGCTCATTGAACCAAACGTCGACAGGAAATAATGCATCCTATAGAACACACTTTTGAATCAGTTTTTCCATCCCCATTCAAAATGACTTTGGTTTTTGAAAAAATCAAAGATATAAAAGATTTAATAGGCCTATAATCAAGCTACGCATCATTATAATGTTCCAAAGCATTGAAGACGAGCGCAATTATCGAAACGTTTTTAAGATTATATTTCAAGATTCTAAGGTAATTTGTCCTTATATTATTATTTATACCATAGTTTTCTGACTCGGACCGGTCCGGCGGGTCGACCCGGGATCCAGTCGACCTAGAGCCGGAGCCGGTCCGGGTGGGCTATTTGGACCGGGCAACAAAGGACCCGGTCAAACCGGTCAAAACCCGGCCAATCCGGCCAGGTCAACCCGGTTGACCCGGTCCATGTATATTTTTTTATTTTTTTTGTTCTTTAAAAATAAAACTATATATATATGTTTATATGGTAAATATTTATCATGAGACACATATTATTAACACTTTAATGTACAAATTTTATACACAAAATATTTAATTATGTTACTTTTATGTATATTTATATGACAAAATACTCTATATATAATTTTAAAAATTTTAAAATTAATTATCCGGTTCAGCAATTGGCCCGGTGACCTGGCGGTTGAACTGGTGACCCGGTGACCTGAGGACTTGCCCGGGTCAATTACCGGGCCGGGTTTAAAAACTATGGTTTATACACATCATTGTCTATATTTTTGTAGATGCTAATTGTATTGGTTGTTTCTATACAACTTATTCAAATGAAGATAGCGAGGGAGTTCCTACCCAAATGATCGTTTTCTCTCTTATGGACTTAGAATCAAAATCTTTAACATTATATATTCATATTATTGATCTATCAGTCTATATAATAATTGTTTTGAATGTTTTTTTAACATATAAAATGCCTTTTAAATTTTTTTCGACATTGTGTAGAGAAAACAGAAAAACTGTACTTTTTGGGGCCAATATGCTGACCAGTTGACTGCTTTTGAGCATCATTACCAAAATCAAGAAAAACTTTTTGTCCTCATCATGCAAATGCACCTTGTGAAGGAGTGAGGACGTATTTCATTAATTTTAATATAATTAAACTCAATAAATAGCTCGATATTTTTTGTTTTGATCGGTTAATCCAATATATTTTTCAATTAGGTGAAGTTCGAATAACCACATCAAAAGACGTGACCCTATTCATCGGTGTTGATGTTCTCGAGATTCGAGATTTTTGTAAGAATTACATATCATTTGGTAAAGTAAAGAAGTGTTCAATGATATATAGATTTTATTTTTATTATATTTAATAATTAGTAATGGCATGATCTTTCCTTTATTATATAATTTGAATTTTAATTCAAAATTACTTTTTAAAAGGGACGAAAACAATAAAGCCCCGTGCATCGCACGGGTACTGTACTAGTTATGATAATGTATGCTAACTTAAGAAAAAATAATAATATAATTTATGTTAATTTACAAGCCTATTTGGCAATACCAATATCAACCCAATACAAAACACTAATGTATGCCAAGTTCTTTGTACTACTTTGATCTAGTAGGCAACACAGATGGTCTGTGTCCGAGAGAACCATTCATATATGTGTCCCTTTATCGATCAAGAAAAACTTTTGAAACGTGTGAGAGATTACTTAGACTTAACATGTTTTAAATTAATATATAAGAGGACTCTGGTTTTTTATAGTTATTCACTTTCTTATAGTTATTAACTTTCGATATTTCAATATTTTTATCCATATTTTTCCTATTTAAGAAACTTTTTAAAGATTTTTGTATGGTATTAATGGGATAAATTGTTAAAAGCAATAAATAAATTATATATATATAGAGAGAGAGAGAAAATTGCAAATTTGGTCCCAAAACTTTTGCAGTTTCTCACATTTGGTTCCAGGTACGCCAATTATGGTCCTTTTTAAATTTTCGTTGCTAAAATGGTCTCACTCCGTCAAGACTTAACGGTCAACGTTTATAGCCTGGAACCAAATGTGGGAAACAACAAAAGTTTTGGGACCAAAGTAAGTGATAAAAATTATTTAAATTTATTTTTATTAGAAACTTTTTTAAAAAAAAATTTAGTAAATGTTAAAAAGGTATATTACCATTATTTTCTAACAATACATTTAGTTTATTTTTTAATAAATTATAAAAGATAAATATAACTAACATACAATTCTTTCACATTTTTTTTAACTTAAATTAAATTTTAACTTGATTTTTTTACATAAAATGATTATTTAATTGGGTAACTTAACAAAAGGTGTATAAAATAATTTTATTAATTAGTTCATGATAAATGAGATGCGAAAAAAAAAACATATGATATATTTTACTATAAATAAGTGAGAGCAAATGTCTATCTTCACTTAATTTAATGCCAAATTTTGAAATTGAGATTTTTTATGTAGATGTAATTTGCATAAATAAATAGATTTTTCAATTTATAGTTTTCAAAATCAAATTGATAAATAAAAATTATTATAATAAAAATAGACAGTAATAAAAAAATTGTTTAGATTAGGTTTTTTTTTTTAATTCGTATTATTTAATAAAGTTTGTAAGGATATATATATATAAATTATCACATTATACTAATATTTAAAAGTGTAGACGGATTAGTATTATTGTAAGCATACTCACATTTTTTCTTATTTTGATAAATTGGATTATGTCTTTTGGTTTGCTTTATTTAATTAAAATAATATTATTTCTAAATATTCTTTAATTTAAATAATATTCAAATAATTGCCAATATTTTTTAAGTAATGATGGTAAAAATATTAGAAAATAAAATAAATACCACACAATTACCAATCATATCGTTTACTTTTCCACCCAAAATTAAAATTTATCAACGCCTTTACTTTTCCACCCGATATTTATTTTTATAAAATTATTTTTAATGTTTATTTCTCGCATAATATCCATAGTAAATTAATTTTATTATGTCATTTCGGCTTTGAGTGAATGAGAGACACTTGAAGAACTCATTTTTTTTATTTTTTTTTTTTGAAAAATTGCAAAATTTGTCCAATCTAACGTCCTCACATGAGCCCCGTCAATATTGACGGACGTGAGACCATTTTGGCAACGAAAATTCAAAAAGGACCATAATTGACGTGTCTGAGATTAAATGTGGGAAACAACAAAAGTTTTGGGACCAAATTTGCAATTTTTTTCTCTCTCTCTCTCTCTCTCTATATATATATATATATATAATTTGGGGCTATTTAATTATTATATATTTTTTTGTTTTTTTTTTAATTATTTGTGGAAACTATTTTTTATTAATTAAGTGTACTAATATTTTTAATTAGTTCATTATATAATAATTACTACTAAGCTCATTGCGTAGAACCCTAGGATAAATGTATAATGAACCTCAAATCATGTAATAATTTAGAAACATAATGGAAATAAAAAATAAATCAATTTATTCATCTAGTACTTGAGTAAAAGGCCAAAAAAACATGTACAGTCGAGAGGACCATGTCCAACTTCATATGCCTATCTAACAACTAGAACTAAAAATAACTTTATCTAAATATTGTACTCAACACAACAAATTCTAAAGGTGAATAGGAATGAGAATCTGCTGTTGAACTCTGATCACACTCACTGCTAATGGGGGCAAAAGGCCTAAAACAGCAGCTTACCTCTGAAAACTGGGGAAAAAAGTCGACCAGTAGCAATGTGAAACATTATTGCACAATTTTCTCGTTCAAGAAAATCTATTCAAGAATCCGTTTTTTGAGAACGCTCCACATATGCCTGCATGAAATAACATAGATCAATACCAGGGAAAACAAAAAACTGGATAATTAACAAGAACTGCCAGGCTTTATCACGAAACCAACTCAATCGTGATAATGAGGTATTTGTAATGCCGGAATATAGCTGGAATTCACTTTAAATCGGAGGCAACCAAAATTTACCTGAACGAGTTTGGAAATTTTGGGTTTTGAGAACGACAAGTACTGATCGACTTTATCCTGTGTCTTGGGGACGTGATCAGGTTGAACTGTTCCGGTCACTTTATCGACCACTTTTTTCACAATGGTCTTGTGAACGTCTTTACTCAGTCGGCCTTCTTTCCACGTGGGCTTCAAGATTTCCTTCACAAACTCAACTAGACTATGTTTAAACAAGCGCATAGCTTTCTCATCCTTGCTTGCAGCGTTCGCTTCAGCTTTTTTGCTGTCCTTAACTCCCTTGCTTTCCTCATCGATGGCTTTATTACCTTCATCGGCTTCTGGTTTTGCGAGTGGTGGTACCTCTTGCTGTTGTTTTGAATTTTCAGAATCATCCACCTTTGGATTATCCGGGACTTTATCAATGGTGGATAGTGGAGAAGCTTGTTTCGTCTGAACTTGATTGTATTGTTCAGTATAATTTCCATGCTCGTTGTTGGCGACTGTGTCTTTCTCCACGTGATTAACTGGTCCGTGAGGAAATCCAACTGGAAAGGTTACCTGTAGAGAAAGAATAGAAAATAGGAGAGTTTGTGAATTGAGCAGCTGGTTAACAAAATGCATTAATCAGAAAAACCACCCCTAAGGTTCCGCCTAGTTAAGAAGACAAGAAAAATAAAGGGATCATTTGTGATTCTCAAGATAACTTGATTTTTTTGGTAATATTACTAAACCTCGTGAGTGGTTTTCTAACATCACTGACAAACTCAAGAAAAAGACTGTGAGACCTTTGATTCTAACAGCCCTGTCAATATTTGAACAGCTCGCTGACGGTTTGCCACCTGAGACTGGACTTCCAAATTAGCTTCCGATTGTGTCTCGAGCTGATGATGCTTCACCTGAGAATGCAAATCCAAAGGAGCTCCTGATTGTGTTTCGGGTAGATGGTTCTTCACCTGAGAATGCAAATCTAAATGAGCGTCTGATTGTGTCTCGAGCAAATTGTTCAGGGCTTGATTGTTTACAAGTTAATTTACTCAAATTTATTTCATATTCAAAATCTAATTCAACTCTACTATCTTTAATATTATTCATATAATTAAATAATACAAACTAATCATTCTTACACATCACATCAACTTTAATTCACTATTCTTCCACTCACATAATTTTAACTATCTATCATTTCCAATCATTTATCTCATATTTTTACATCAAATCAATTTTAATTATTTTATTTTAAATATTATTTTAATATATTCTTAAAATTCCACTAACAACTAACTATACCAACTTTTCTAAAATTAACTATTTTAAACAAATTATATCATAAACAATCAAGCCCTCAGCACCTGAGAATGCAAATCCAAATGAGGTCCTGCTTGTCTCTCGAGCTGATGGTTCGGCAGCTGATGAAAACAAGCTCCTGCTTGTGTCTCGAACCCATCCAAGCCACCATTAAGCATGTTCTGCCAGACATCAGTTGCATTGGAAATTGAAAACTGCCTAGGTACTTGTACATTTTCACTGCTTTCATTTTGTCCAGGAAAAGGACATGGATGTGTGGGATTGCTCAAGTTTTCAGCCTGATCAAGAGCATCAGACCCAAATGAAGTCACTATACCATTTTCAACTACCCCATGGTCAAGCGAGGTTTGTTGTTCTTGAACACTCGCATTTCCAACATCATTTTGCGAAGAGAAACCTTGCGACATGTTATTGTTTTCCTGTTTATGAGCCACATTTTCCTTATCAATATATCCAGTCACGCCAATGCCTCCCAATTCTCGTGTTCTCCAACTTGCATCCTCGTTTTCCATACGAAGACTCGATCTGCTATCATATCTCAAATTATTGTTGTCACCTGGATAGCCCATATTGGCAGTCTCATTAGACGCAAGATGGTGAGAAAATCTGCAAGAGTCTCCCCATTTGCAACAACCTTTCATGAGTTCCCTGCATGGAACTACATTTCTACTTTTCTTCCAAAATTGTCGTTCCCCTCCATGATTATATCTGGGAACATCATCTCGTAAATCAGAACCAGAGTCTTTGATGTATGAATCTTCAGAACTGTGCCATCGAGTGCTATTTCTAGAGTGCTCGAAATGGCATTGACTGCCTTTCCTGCACCCTCCAGCAGAAAAATCACGACAAATTTGAAACTGTTTATAGGAATCACTTCTTTGGTCATTCCATTTATGCGATTGATTTTTATAATCTAGTCTTGGACTACCACTTCTCGCCCAAGCTCTTGGACTTCTGCTTCTGCTTCGACTCATGCTCCCGTCTTTTCTTGGGTACCTACAATGAGAAAATAATTAACGTAGTGTATGACCGATAAAGGATTCATAACACAGACTTTTCCTAAAAATGTACTGTATTGGTGTCCTAAAATAATTTTTTCCCTTTTTAACAAATGAAGCCAATTTTATCAAAAAAAACCAATCAGGTAACTGTGTGCAAAGCTAAATTTGACATCAGTTAAAAAAATCAACTTTTTCCACAGCGTTAATTAGGTATCCAATATTACAACAGGCAGATTTTCCTATTGGAATCAAAATAATGCACAGACTAAACGAAAAGGAACAGTTAAAATATAAGAAAAAATTTATATGGAAAGACACACACTTGAAAAAAAAAAAAAATCAACTCTTGACCAGAAACCACACAGCATCATTAACAGACAACAATTTTAAACATTACATCTAAAGCATTCTAACAGTTCATTCTAGGTCATTCAGTATCACATATAATACATTATAGGAAGAAAATACAAGAAGCCAGACCTGTGAGAATCGCCTCTATTATCTTCTTGGTAGTGCTTATAATTACACCGTTCGATTCCATCAAACCCAGGAGACATATTCTGGTAATATCTGCTTTCTTCATTTAATTCACGAGACGTCCGTCCAGGACGATCTCTAGATTTTGGCTCCATAAAGTCTCTGGACCCATGAAATTCATGATCACGTCCTCTGTTATTAATTGAATGCAATTCCTTGCCAGCCCAAGAATTATGATCACTTGGATGAGAAAAATGTCGACTTTCATCATCCATATGCCACATTGACTTGCGTTTTCTCCTTTCACCCATAGAGTAATGTACCCCAATGAAAATCCTGCTTAATTCTGGGAAATGTAGCTGGGTCTGTTCAGTTCAAGCAATACAGGTGAACGACACTCTTCTCTATTTTCCTACCTTTCAGTTTTACCTTACTGAAACACATAGTCACTCATGCCAAAAGTGTAATATAATGAAAATTACTCTACATTAATAAATAAGACCTACGCATAAATGGGCTCACATATATTATTTCAGATAAGAAAATATAAAGCTGTCATATACATTTTTATTAACAAATAGCTATTCTGTTAAAATAAACACACAGCTAACTTTACTGCGCCTGTATGCTTGTATTTCCATCTCCTAAGTCCAAAGACAAGTAAAACTAGATCACAGCTGTTGACGTCAATTCTAGCGTACTCAGACTCAAGAGAGTAACTAGGAATTCCACAAGAAAACTTGGTTATGCACAAAATCAATGATATTTTGTGCTTTAACTTGTCAATACACTAATATCAGACGTTTCTTTTGAGATGAAACAAGCCATTCATAAGTGCTGCTGTTCATGGATACTGAAGAACAAGAACAACAAATAAAAAAAAAAAAAAATCTGGCAAGAACAAGCAAATCACATTGGAAGCAAGCACATCATACGGAATTCATCAACNCGACCTTCGATACCGATTAGCTAATGTCTCGCCCGCAAACGAGCTTGCATCCTCCGGGCGCTGTAGCCGGCGGAGACGGAAGGGCGTTCTGGAGGTAAAGGCGGCGCGTTGAGTCCAATTGAGAAGATGAGATAGCAGCGGAGTATATAGATGAGAGAAGACGGGTGAGTTGGCGCGCGGCGTCAGGAAAAAGGGGAAGGAAAAGTAACGAATTGTTAAAAGCTCAGAACTCAAAAAGCCCTAAAATTGGATACGGCTCTGCACAGCATAACTGGTGACGTCATCAAATGATTTTTGGTTCCGTCACATTGTCATACTTTGTCAAAAGTAAATTGTTCAAATTTTCATATATTGTCATTTAAATTGAATGAATTTTAATTATTTTCAATTTAAAAATAATTAGACTAAATATCTATAAATTATTGAATATTTATGATTTTGTAAGAGTATTAATTATATTTTAATATTATTTTCTATTCACTAAGCCTTGAGTATCTATGAATACATTGGATAAATTTTTATTTAAGAGTCTTAACATTCCCGAACAAGGTCAGGCGTGCTCCATTCCATAGGTAATACCTTCTCAGTTTCCTGGACTAATTTGTTGTATTCACCACAAATTTGATCAAACAATTGATCTGAATTTGGAGCAGCACGATAGCTTCCCAGTTTCTTGGACTAATTTGCTGTATTCACCACAAATTTGATCAAACAATTGATCTGAATTTGGAGCAGCACGATAGCTTCCCAGTTTCCTGGACTAATTTGTTGTAATCACCACAAATTTGATCAAACAATTGATCTGAATTTGGAGCAGCACGATAGGGTTGGAGGTAGTGGAAGTAGAACTTTCCATCCTTTATAGACATCATTTTGAGGGAAATTTACACTTAAATGATCTCTTTTGGGGGTACATGCATTGAAAGACGGCTTTTTCTGTACAAAGAGAAGCAAAGTGAAGTCAAAGAGTGAAAAAAAGAAAGATTTACCTCAATGGAACCAGTCTCAATTGTGTATTAATTATGTTAATATCATTTCTTATTATCTAGGCCTGAAATATCCAAAAATATACTGGATATTTATAACTTGTTAAGAACACTAATTATGTTTTAATATTATTTTTCATTCTAGACGTGATTTGTGAGATATAAATTTTTCCCAAATCTTTATTTTTTTCCTCATCTTTCTTTTAAAGTTATAAAAAGATTTACTAACTTAAACATAAATAATAATATAGTTTTCTCAAAAAAAAGTATTTGAAAATTTAAATAAAATATTTTTATTATTTTTAATTTTCAATATAATTTTTTAAACCTGAACTCGTGTAATACACAAGTATTGTACTAGTATTTATATGATACATCAATTAATGATCTTTGATTTTACATTCACATTGTCATGTTTTTCATACTTTTTCGGTGTTTGTTTGGGCTTAATTATTGATTTTAATTGATTTTTATAATTTTTGTAGGCTATCTCGGAATTTGGAATTTTATGATGATTAGAGGCAAAAGAGAAGAATTTGAGTTAAGGCGTAGGCACACTAATTTCCTACACGAGTTGGAAGAAGGAATGAGTATTGAGTTGTAAAGAGAAATAATAAAGACTTTATGGAGTATTTATTTATTTATGGACTATTATATTTTATTAGGATATGTTTTGAGAGAGAATGATCTCTCTATTTTCTACGTATTTTCTGCTAAGATGAGGATTAGACTGGTTTGATTAAAAATCAGGCTGCTAGATTTATTTTTGACATCTCTTTTTTTTTTTTCCTCTTCTCCCTCACGCACGCACGCCCCTCATCTTCTCTTCTTCTCTTTTCTTCTTTTCTTTTATTTTTCATGAATAATTGGGTGAAGACTCCCATGTTTAGGGAGAATTAATTTATTTTTCCAGCCAAATGATTAATCTAGATTTGGTTCTTCATGATTTGTGAGATCTAATTAAATTTTATATTCCCTATTCTCTTTTATTCGTATATTTCTTGTGATTATTATTAATTTTGTTTTGATTGATTGATGCAAATTGGCCATTTGTTCGATTGTTGAAACGTATATCGTTATTTAGAACGTTAAATCCGTAATTGTATGATTGTTCTAATATTTGTGGCAAATAGCATAGTTGATTGCTAAGGGTTTTCAATTGTATGCTTAGGGAGATATATGATTTAGTCTAAATGATCCTACATGTGCATTTGTTGGCTAGAATTGGCGATCCTTCTAGATTTTATTGATGTTGATAGATTAAATCCTATGATTGTATCTAGGGTTGTCTATTGATTAGAGAAATAGTTAGAGATCGTATCCTGATTATCGAACAAATAATGAAGTATAGGTTGTTAGGTCGTACCGATAACCATAACCAGTTTAATCAAGAGTAGGAGAATTGTCTTTGCATCCGTGATCGAATCATTGAACCATTTCTATGATCTTTTCCTTTGGTTGGATATTTTCTCTATTTTGAATCACTCGTTTTATTTTCGTCTCTGTTTAGATTTTATTTTATTTTGTTTTTATTAGTTAGATAAAAACATCAAAACTCCTCATCATTTTTATTTTTATTTTTATTTCACGAATAGTTGCATCAATACTCTGTCTAGCCAATCTCTGTGGATACGACCCTGCTTACCACCACTATAGTTATTTTAAAAGCAGAAATTTATTATTGTTGGATTCGACACCCATCAGCACATAAAAAATAATACATTCTAAAAAGTATTTTAAAAAAATTAATTAACTTTTTTTTTTCAAAAAGAGTTTTATGTATAGATTTGTACTAATTACTCTAGTAGCACCTAAGATTTCAACAATGGGCCATCTCATTAGAGTTCAGACCGTTTTGACTCTGCATTTCTGTGTCATAACTCATAACTCATTCAGGACCAAAGTGCTTCTCTTCCAAGCTACATTACACAATATAACATCAAAACCCGACAAATCCTAAGAAAGACCACATTTAAGAGCTCTCCTACATTACCCCAACGACAAATGTTGCCACAACACTTCCACAAACTATTGAGAGAATATCTTGTGATATCTTATACGATAAATATGGCAATTGTATCTTGTTGATATGATATAGATTAGGTTGTATCAATTAGATGATATGGTAAATCTCGTAGATTAGATCCTTTGATTTTTTTTCCTTTCTTTCATCTCTTTTGGCTTGTATAAATACCTTGTAATCCTCATTAAGTTATACAACAATTCAAGCTCTACATCATTTTCTCCACTTTTACACAAACCCCCGTCTAACAACTCAGAAATTTAAATCTAAAAACACAAGAGACAAAGAACAGAAAGAAAACACGTCGAAAATCCACGTTCATCACTCAAAATGCTTTAATCGATAAAGCGCTACAAGATTAATTCACGCGCAGTCTCGTACAAGAAACTTCCATCGATCTGCTTTCGAAAAGTAGCCAAGCGGTGTCAGGTTGGAAGCCCGCGGGCCAGTCTGTTCTAGCGCCACATTCTTGACATCCTCTTGCTTCACAACTACTCTATATACTGGTTTCACTACCTTTCATGCATGGGTTGATTGATCTATCTGTCTTGATATTTTGGATCATCCGAAGAGTGGGGATAAACAGGATCCTGCAAAGCCGACATCTCAATCTTACTGCACTTCAGCTCCTTATGGCCTCCGCAGTTGCCAGAGCTCCGGCAACCATAATTATCACCGGAATCTTGTACCGAATTGCCATTCTCCTCAGCTTCCGCCGGCAATCTCGTCAAGCTGGTCTCCCGAGCTCGTCAACTGAAGAAAATTGCTCGGGCCTTTACGAGCCTCGGGTTTGGGATAAGAATCACGTAGCTAAACATAATCGGTCAGTTTGGGCAGTGGCGAATTTACATTTATCAATAGGGGGGCAATTGCCCCCCCTCAAATTTTAATTTTTTTTTACTATGATAATTAAAAATTTTAATTTTGTCCCCTCTTAAATTATTTTTTGCACCCCCAAATTTTTTGTTTTTAAACGTCACTCACAAGTAGTGTTGTAAACGAACCAAACCGAGCTTAGGCTATTTGAGCTCGTGTTTGTTTACGTTCGAACAGTGTTCGTGTGCGTTCATGTTCGTTCGTTTATTTTTCGAGCAAAAAATCGTGTTCGAGTTCGTTCGTTTAATTGTTCGTCAAGGTTCGAGTTCGTTCGTGTTCGAATAATATAATACATAAACTTTTTAAATATGTTTGATTAACTCAAAATTTGTTCGTTAAAATAAAAGAATAAAATAAAAATATCACGTAGATATATAAAAAATAAATAAAATTATATTAAATTTTAGATTTTTTATTAAAAATATTATGTAAATATATAAAAAAATAAAATAAATTATATTAAATTAATGTTCGCGAACATAATCGAACGTTTCCGAACGAGCTCGTGTTCGTTCGATTATTAAACGAGCATAATTTTCTGTTCGAACTCGGCTCGATTAACAAACGAACGAACGTTTGTCGAACACGAACGAGCTTTTGTTCGCGAACGTTCGGTACGTTTACAACTCTACTCACAAGGCCAACAATTGTAATTATAAGGTAACTTGTTTTATGCATTTTTGTTATCTCTTATAAATTATGTCATCTTTTTATGCCCCCTCTCAACTAATTTTCTAGTTTCGCCCCTAAATTTGGGTACCTGGGCAATATGAACGGTCAGCTACGTACTATTAGGATAAAATAAATAAATTAATTTTCGATCAAAATCACTTTTAGTTGTTAAACATGTAAAATATTTGTACACGGCAATTAATTTTAAGCTATTTCGACACTTGAAGCTACTATTTTTTTTTTCCAACGATAGAGTACTCAAATAGAACAAATAGAAACAAGTACATTACATGCCGACACACCCCAAATTTGGGAGAAAAAGACACTGGGAGGAACACTCATGCGAGTGCCCTAGAAACATACCAAACAGCTGCATCAACTACAGGCAGGAAGAGAACTCCTGGGACCCCTAGTCAATTACCACAACCACTACATTCCACTAGGCAAAGCAAACTAAGAAAGCTAAAACAAACCAACAACAAGAAAAACAAAAGGAAGCAAAAAAGAGAACCAAGAAAATAAAGAAAAAAACCTAAGGATAACAGCAACTACAAAGCTCCTCATTCAATATGTAGGAGTTCCCTTAGATACCGCAAGGAATTCTTGCAAATCAGTCCAGGCCTTATTCACGATTACATTTTCTGGCAT